ACCCCCGAGCGTGTCGAGTTCGTTCTGTGCCCCCTTTTCCGTCCACAGGTGGGTGAGCTGCCGATCCTGACTCAGTGTCAGGCGCTTCTGACTGTGGCCTCTTGGAGTGCCTTCTGGGGTAATTTCCCCATTTTGAGGGGGATGTGTGTGAGAGGGGACAGGCTGTGTTGACTACTCTCTTGTCTGGAGAGCTACAGAGCAGTTTAGGGGGCACACAGGCTGGCTCCGGGTACTAACTGGAGGCCACCAGCAGGAGGGAAGAGCAGCTGTGATGTTGGGGTCCAGACCCTGATCGTGGCGGCCATGTGACCATCTGCAAGTCCTACCGTCCCTTAGGGCTCGGGCTCCACATCCATAAAACGGGCTTCACGTGCAGGGAACTGAGCACCTTGTGTGCATGGCTGTGGGTCCAGTGCTGCCGGCCCAGCCTTGGGGTCACTGAACCCTTTTGACCACAGGGACGGGCTCGTCCCACCAGGACCAGGCATATCAGTGGACAGTTCGTTATACCTTTGTCCTAATAGGATTTACTGAGCCCCGCCCAGCTGTGGGGTTTTCCTCCCCCCTCTGCTGTTCTCATGTTTCCTGTGCAGCTGGACAGGCTGGTGGGTGGCCCGTGATGGGGCCCTGCTCTGAAGACCCCCACCTCCGCTGGGCCTCCTGGCTCCTGGGACTGGCCGAACTGGCAGGCGTCCTCCTGGGTGAGTGGCGGGGTCCCTGGGATGGGGCTCTGGGGCGGAGCAGGCAGGCAGGGTCTCCTTTTTTTGTTTGATGTCTTGATAAAGAAAATAAGGAAACTACGCTTCAATTTAGCAAATGAGCCCAGGGTGAACAGAGGAACAAATGGCCTGTGGTGGTGACGAGAGTGGGACCCTGAGCTCGGGTGGCCTGGGCTGCACTAAGGGAACCTTTCCCAGCGAGGAGAGGCTGTGTCTGCAATAACAGGGGAGCCAGGGGGAGCCTGTGGGGAGCGATGGAGACCCAGAGCCTGGCTCCTGGGGGCCGAGGGGCACAGGGCACCCGCCTGGACCTCACAGGGGACCTGGCAGCCTCTGCAGCTGTCCTGTGGAGCAGACGCTGTCTCACACTAGGACCCGAGTCTGAGCTGCAGAAGCAACCTCGCACTCGGGGGCTCCCTGGGTGAGATGCAGGACACAGAACAGGATGTAGTTCTAGTTTGTAAAGGGAACAGCAGCCTTTGAAATCTCAGGGAGTCTGTAACACACACACCGTGAGAGTGTGGAGAGGCTGAGGATGAGGAGCAGGCCGTTAACTGAGCTCCAGGACGAGGGTACGGGGAGGAGAGAAAGCGGGCAGGGGTGGGGCGGACAAAGGATTCAGCAAAAGGGGAACCGAAAGAAAGACTGACCAGAGCTGTGTCCCATTTATGACTATTGAAGTTTATATGTTTACGTCCAACGAAACAATAAAAACGAATGAGGAAAACATAAGACCTAGTGATTTATAAATTCTGGAGAAGGCTTGGAAGGCTTTTATTGTTTTGCATGAAAACAAATTCTATGACATGT